AAAAAAAAAAAAACTTTATTTTCCCCCGACATCATGTGCCCCTTTCTCTTTCTCTCTTTCTCTTTTTCATTCCTAATAAAGGCTTGAAGCTCTTGACAGTACATCAATGGAGGACCCATTCTCCATAAAACATGCTTCAAATAAACCAACAGACTAGCTTCTCAAACATCACAATATCTCCTAGACCTACTACCCTATCTCTCTTTCCCCATTAAAATAGTTGAACAAATAACCCAAAACACACCATCCTTAGGGATCAAAATAGACAACCATTTTTGTTCATTAAAAGCTTCACTGAGAAACATTAAAATGAATATCATCTTTAATTTTTTTTGTCTGAGGGATTGTTCAGGGCAAAGATTTTTTTGCCTTTCGAGGTGACTCGAGACTGGCTAATTTTTCTGATTTAGGAGGTTTTTGAGAGGAGAATTTTGAGATGAAGAAAATGAAAAAAGAAATTAATGATGGCCGAGTGCTGGATATGGTGGAATAGTGGTGGAGCTGCGGCAACTTTGACTGTGAAGAAGAAGAGAAAATTGATTATTTTGAAGAGAAAGAGAGAAAATAAATTAAGAATATGGTAAAATAGATTTTTAAAAACAGTAGACCTATAGCTTATACGTGTCAAAGAATAAAAGGCTTAACATATGATGTGTCAGTCATGTCATAGCTAGTGAAGAACACGTTCGGTCGGATGCATTAAGTGAAAGTTTATATATCGGGATAACAAACAGGTGCAAGTTTAAGGGGCTATTAGGCCGTTTTGCCTAAAATTTTATTATAGAACAATTTCGGAAACCTATCTCCACAGCAAGCTCCTCAATTTTTTGTCTATTCAATTTTAGTAAAGATTTAAAGTAATCATATATTTGTTGTGTGTTTGTTTATTTATATAGTAAATCATATAGTATGCAGAGTTTAGCTTATACATGGAAGATCAAATCATCAATATTTATAAATTATAAAGTTCAAGTTCACAATCTAAGATGAAAATTGGACATGCCCTCAGAATGATTGTAGCACAAGATTAAATGTAATTTATCCTGATTATGTGAATGGTATAGTTTCAACTTCTTGTGCGAGTACGTTTTTACGTATTGAACGAACCAAGTTGAGATAAGTGTTTTGTACGAACTATATAAAACAGATTCTCTAGTCCATTAAATGTACTTATACTCTTAATCTTGATATTATTATTGTTAGTAGTGTATAGTGTTTGCTATTTTGATTTCTCAAAAGGTGAGTTAGGGGTATCATCAATCTTTAAACCGAGACATGAATTATATCAATTAATTATTATTCGTTTATGCATATTGCCATCATCCGACTTATCATATATAATTCTTCCTGATAAAAAAAGTATGTCCGATTAGTTGGATAATATCAATATGCATTTCCGAAATAATAACTACTCACCCTGATACAATTTTTGGGGCAACATTTTCTTTTTAGACATCCTTGGGAAAAGGCTGCACCCCAAGGGGTTGATGTAGGCAGCCTACTCTGACGCTTGCGCGAGTGACTGATTATACGGATCGAAACCATGACCTATAAGGTCACATAGAGATAACTTTGCCATTGCTCCGAGGCTCTTTTTCAATTCGACAATTTTGTAAGGTTGGTTATTTCGTGATATCATAAGTAAACACTAAACATATGCCAATATCTGACTCTGGTGCACATTAAGTTTTGATTTGACACTGTAAATATTGCCTCTTTCAAACTAAAATCTTCTTCAATTTTCAATCTCCTGGCTAGATGTTTCATTTGCTGTCATCTGAATTGTGATACCAGAAGACTTGTCTCTATGAACAATGCGCATGGATTACATCGTCTGCAAAATTATAAGCCAAACCTTATTATTCTTTCTTTTCACATTGCAGGTTGACATGGTTATTATTCCCGCAACTACAGGACAGATGGGTGTTTTGCCAGGGCATGTTGCAACAATTGCAGAGCTCAAGCCCGGTCTCCTATCAGTTCATGAAGGCAATGATGTGACCAAATACTTTGTGAGTGGTGGGTTTGCATTTGTTCATGCGAATTCTTTTGCAGATATAATTGCTATTGAAGCTGTACCACTTGACCAAATCGACCCCACTTTGGTTCAAAAGGGCCTCACAGAGTTCACGCAGAAGCTAAGCACTGCATCAACTGATGTAGAGAAAGCTGAGGCCCAGATTGGAGTTGATGTACACAGCGCCCTTAATGCTGCTCTTACCGGTTAAGCTAGTGGACATACTGTCTCCGTCCCTGTTCAATTTTCTTTTCCTTCTGTATCTGTTGGAAGCCGCAAACCCTTTAGGACAAACTGGTTAAGTTACCTGTTTTTAGTCCTGCATCACTAGAATAAATGCAGGGGACAAGCTTTCCTAACATAGATGTGGTTAGATACCATATTATCTTTACCTCTGTACTGCAGTGATGAGAAGTATATTGTTTCAAAGAAATTTTTCAATAGCAGCTGAATTTCATGCTACCTAATGTTCAGACTGCATTGTCTCCTCCCCAGTTCTCCCGCTCCATCATTTTAATTGTTGTTACATTGCTTTATGCAGCCTATAACCCTCCTTGCACTGGCACAAGTTCCCTTCATATGTGATACCCTTTCGAGGTCTTGCATTACATTTTTTAACCAAAAAAAAAAAAGTTATTACACTGGGGGATTAGGGGAAGGAAAGAGGAAAGGGGGATAGCAAGAATTGAATGTCAATTCTGTGCGAGACTTCCACCAGTATCACCAGACTAAGCTTTGGTAAAAGTCCTAATTTACTTTGAATTGAAGTCTCAGGCAAGCTTTCTTTCATATTTACCTTTCGCTCGCTTGAAAAAAGAAAGTGTAATTAATGAGTTTCTGTAATGTGAAGTAAATTTTCCTTCAATATTGAAAAAGTTTGTATCATTGGAAATTAGTAGGATATTCATCAGATGAATTCCGCTATACATGGACTTTCCACATTGTAGTTCCCATTTCCAGCTCAGCTTTATCTTGCTATTACACTACTTACATTTATAGCTCTTTAATAACTGAAATGCTAGTTAACCATCTTTCTTCTGCTTTCAAAATTTGCCTTGATACAATTTCCGAAACTATCGCACTTGAGATCGATAACACAAATTATTCCGCATCAGAATCTGTACTTTCCACATACATCTCTATAACTTCACCACCTGCTTTATATTCCTCTTCCTCCTCTCTTTTCTTCCTCTCCTCTTCTTCCCGCTCAGCAGCTCGAGCTTTTGCTACTTCAAGCCTAGAACTCACCGCCTCCCATGATACAAGCTTCTCCATAAAAATTGATATGTAGTCAGGGCGCCGATTCTAGAGGAAAAAAAAATGACAGTGCAACTATTAAACCCACACAATCTTTTCCACAAGAAACTCACTAAAAATTTATGCATTTAATCAGCTAGGCTTACCCGAAAGTCAAGATAGTAAGCATGCTGCATTTTCAAATAAGAGATTTAGAGAATTAGACGTGGGACCAGTAACCATAAAAATCACCAAAAAACAAAAAGACAAGGACAAAAATGAATCAACTATATTGACAAAAGAACATGCTCTGCTTACCTCCCAAACGTCAATAGTGAGGAGAGGCTGCAACAAATAACACACAATTGTGAGATTCGCTTAATATTTTAAACTACCAGTCTAGGAAGTCGAAACTTCTTTGAACCATAACAGTAGAGAATTATGCAATTTTACTCACGGAGTAATCCCACACGAGAGGGTTTACAGCATTAGGAGTTTTCACCACTACAAGCTTTTTGTCCTCATCGGTAGGATGAGGATTTGACGCGTTTCCTACATTAAGTCTATTTGCCTTGTCTACAAAGTGAGTAACAGAAGCATTAAGATTATATTTAGGGTTAAGAAAAAGTAGATATGCAGATAGAAGGCAAAAGGATTTCTCACATGCAAGCCAAGCCCACCCAGAACCAAATTGTGTTGCTGCGGCTGCCTTAAATTCTTTAACAAATGCTTCAAAGGAACCAAAGTCTCTGTTAATTAGTTCTAATAGTTCACCAGATGGCTTTCCTCCTCCACTAGGCTTCATAGATTCCCAGAAGAATTGATGATTCCAAGCCTATATAGAGAAAGAGGATACAAAAGAATTGGAATTAGATTGGGCAAAAACAACCAAAAGCAGGTCTAGTCACCTGACTTACGTGGCATTCTCACCAAATAACTGTGATTTTTATGCAAATATGCATTACCAACATCATAGCCATCTGAACTATGGTTCAGTTACAATGCACTTAGATCAATTGAGAAACAAAAAATGTAGCCCTGGTGAAGAATCTCTATTCATTGACCATCCCAAATACATTAAGAATATAAATGATAAGAGAGTATGGTGTATACGGATAAAATCGGAGGGTCCAATTTTTTATCATTAAAGCGCTTCGGAAGGTCACCCCGAAGGCTCGAGGTCATGGTCGAGCACCCTCTCTCGAGGATCGTCGACGCTCGACCTCACGGTAGCATTGATCACGGTAATGGTGGAAATGGGAGGTTCCCAAGGCACACGCCTAGGACTGACAAAGTCTGCTGGTCTACTCTAAATCTGAGCCGGGGTGTCATGTAGCTGTCCCGTCTCCCTATCTTTGTAATTAATGCCTCTTGTACTTCGTTGGGATTCCCCTTCTATATAAAGGGGATCCTTGTCATTATGTAGCTCTCTCTGTTGCTTCAATTACTCCACACGAATATATGAAGAACATTCTCTCTGCTCTCTAACATACTTTCTTGTTATTATTGCTTTCATTTATTATCTTCATACTTGTTCATCATTTATTGCTTATAAAGAGCCCTTATTAATTCCGACATAACTGTTAGCGCTACCCCGATCGCCCCCGATAGCTCGTTATCGAGCTACTGGATCGACCTCAAAGCCCCATATCGACAAGCTCGAGGCCTCGATTGTCAACCTCTCGGTTCGACTATCACCTCATCCTTAGCTCTTATTTCGTCTCTAAACTTCATACGCATAGCATCATCTACTTAAACAACTAGCATAAAAATAGATCACGTATTTTTAGAATCCCATCAATAAATTTAATTGTTATTACCATTTTCACGGTAAACATATGGATTTTCAGCCAAACCCCTTCTCAGCAGTGGCGAAGCCAGAAAATTCAGTGGCAGTGGCTAAGCAAGGGTGTTCAAAATCTATTTATTTTATCAATAACAAGTATTTTATCCTATACATAGTTGGCAAAGGTGTTTACTTGACCACCCTTGGCCACACATAGCTTCGCCCCTGCTTCTCAGGACAGGCTTGCACTTGGAGAGCTCTAAAGAGTGAAAAGGAAGTTGGGAGGGATATTGTTCTCTGTTTCTCACCTGTGCAGCATTGTTGAATGGTGGAAGGAGATCACCTCTGTTATATGTAATAAGTATTATGTCCTCTAGTGTCATTCCATCCAGTTCTGTTCCGTCTATTTGCTTGTTTAAGTTGTCGACATAAGCCCTGTGATGCTTCCCCCAGTGGTATTCGAATGTAGTATGGCTCATATGTGGTTCCAGAGCATTCTACATCATGATATTCACATGTCAAATGTCAAAGCATATTGAAAGAGAAACACTATGTCAACAGGCAAAGTGGAGAACAGGAGACGAGAGGGAAGAAGTTATAAACGAGATATTCTGGTTTAGACAATTGGAACAATACCATGGGATAAGGTGGAGGCGTCAGCTCAAATTTAGCTGTAACTTTAACATCACCAGCTTTTCTAGCCAACTGTTTCTGCAACCAAAAAACTCCTCAGCAATAAGTAAAACGTAAAGCCAGACCCCTACAGAATTCGTTCTTAATTTCGCAAAATTTACATAACCACTACTGAAGCATTTCGTCGAAAACAATGTGTACAAAAGATATCTTTCAACTACTGCCAAAGTAAAGACCTTTATTTGGCTATATTATATCAAATCTAACCGAAAATACGTCAAGGAAAGCATAAATACCTTGTGAGTTCTCCAATTTAGGGTTCGACATGACTCACGAAATCCTACATTGCCAATACAAAGCATAAAAATACTGAAAGAAAGGTGCTTTGGAGTGAGATATAGAGAAATGGGTAAAGAAAAACGAAAGAAAAAGAGGCGAACCTTGGAAAGGAAGAAATGCAGAGGTGAGAGTAGCAGAAGCTGTGGCGGCCATCATCAGGAGCAACCAAACTCCGCTAAATCGGTTTCGCTGCTTTACTTATGGGGAAAACAGTTGAGTCCGAGGATAAGTCTTTAATAT